AGCGGATAGCGTGGTTTGTTTTGTTAACACTTATCCGATGGCTAGCGATTTATCCGGTGGATAACGTTATCCACCCACATGATGCGCAGGAATTTCTCTTTTCCACAGACTTGGCCGGAAAAATTGTAGACCCGAGCAAATGGATCTATAAGCTAGCTACGTCCCTGATTGTTCTTAACATGAAACTTGCAGATTCAACCAAACTAGAGATGATGCCATACTCAAACGAAACGACAGACTTCCTTCATGATCTTTGTTTCTTTGTTCGTGCAGGGTAATGCATAGTGAGAGTCACTTAAGAGAAGAAAGTCTTAACAGTGAAGGTCAAAATGAAAGGGTAAAATCTGATTGGTCGAAAGCCGTCAAGTTGCATAATACGACTGCAAGTAAAGATCTAATTAAGGTGTCCCTGGCAACCAAGCCGCGATTGGGTTCATATTAACTGCAATGCCCCTCTCCTCCGCCCCCTGAAAGGTATCGCAGATATCCGCTGGAATCGTAAAAAGGGAGCCTAGCCTGGATACCATGGCAGCCTAATTTTTTACTTGCATGCTTAGCCTCACGTCGCCTTACCTTTCTTCTCTTAACATCTGATACTCAGGCTCATTTTCAATGGTCTTCGAGTCTCCATCTTCCCCAATAACAGAAAGCGTTGCTTTAATTTCAGGTTATTAAAGGAGGCGGTAAAGTTGTGCTGGGACAAAGATACTCACAGGTCGCAGATTTTGATGAATTCAAACCAGGACAGTCCTTCATTGGTGAAATCAGTCATCTGAACATTTGGAATACCACGCTGGAGCCAAAGGTTGTCAGCTCCATGTATCGCGGGTGTGATTTTATTGGCGGGAATTGGTTCAACTGGGCAGCGATCTTACGGGGTGAAGTGGCGGGAGATGTTACCATGGAAACACCAGCAGACTGTACACTACCAGGTCAGATATAACGTCTTAAAAATGTGTCCCCTTGAAACAGCTAAGTCAGGTGGCACTTGGAAGTGAAGGGAGCGGAAAATCTTCTGACATTCGACATTCGACATTCGGCATTCGACATCCGACATCCGACATCGGACATCCGACACCCGACACCCGACA